TCTCCGACTCAGAATGGTACAAACACATACACATACATACACACATACACACACATATACATATACATCTACATATACATACACACACATATACATATACATATGCATATGCATATGCATACACATATGCATATACATATACATATCGGAAATTTAATTGGCGAGAACAGTGTGTACTGGAGTGGCGCCGATTTTCTGAACATTACACAAGCACCGTGCATTGGCGAGTATGTGGGTCGAGGTGTGTGTGCGGACTCGTAATTTATTTATAAATACATAGTACGTATCTATAGATGGAACATCGTATTTATAGATAGAACATCGTATTTATAAATAGAACATCGTATTTATAAATAGAACATCTGATTTATAAATAGAACATCTTATTTATGAATATAACATAGCGAGTCCAGTACGTTGAGGACCGCATGCGCAGCGCTTGTTTGACCTTACCACTGCAACAACAGGCGATATGACAGAAGAATGGTAATAAGTGAACTACAGCTGACAGAAGAACACATACGACTGAGATACCAGTCAAAGTTACTTACACGCACAGTGGCGTTGCAGGAGAGGCTATACACACATGAGTGGACCTGAAGTGTGGCTATTTTGCACTCTAGCAGGCTCTTCCCTATATCGTTTTTCAACTGTGTGAAGTAGTGTGTTTGAACTACATCCTAGTAGATGAATTTTCGTATGCATACATGTCTGTTACAAAAACTATGGAGACACTGCGCATATATATCCACCCACACACCTCCACATACACACACACACATACATACATACATACATATATATATATATATATAAATATATATATATAACAGTACATACCAAATGTTGCGTGCGTAGAACATACCGGTGGTGCAGCTACTCTTCCCTTAGGAGCAGCGGCTGTCTTGGTCTCTGCTGGAGCTGGCATTGCAGGTGGGTCTTTGGTAGGTATAGCTTTCTGCTGAGGTGGACAGGACAATCCACACATTAACGCACACTCACACTAATTGAAACCAGACATGACCATGAAACCGCAAAGATTAAGGCGAGAATGGAGGAGAGCAGCACAACAGCATGGACTACAAGCGTGCGGTTAAGTGATAGGACACAAACACATCGGCAACGAAGCGAACGGGTGATGAGATGCAGAGGAGAAGAATGTCCATATCACACGCCAACAAGAGAAAAAAAATCTCACACCCTCGAGAAGCCCTTTACAAGCACAAGTCTGCAAGAAGCATATATCGCACGAGCGAGAGATAGAAACCAAAACATTGATACAAGTCACACTACCACATTTATAACTCAGTGCTTCTTTCCATTGCCAATTACTATCATTAACCATATCAGCCATTACACACACTTACTTTCGATGCAACAGCGGGAGTGGCTTTAATGGGCTCTCGCGGGGCAACCGGCCGACTCGCATTAGCCGACGATTTGACACCTACAAATGACAGATAGGTGAATACGTATTAACATATTATACACGTCAGATTGAGTAATACATATTTACTCAATACAAATGGCAGATGGGTGAATATGTTTAAACACATTGCAAATGTTAGATAAAGTAACACATATTAGCTCAGTATGTATGACAGATAGGTGGATATGTATCAACACATACATGTCAGATAAGGAAATAAATATTAACCAATAGTACTAGCAATCATCACACACTCTCACACACCTGTGTACTGTTGCAACACATATACACCAAAGACCTTATTCACCACGCACACCCACTCACACTCACACACCCGTGTACTGTTGCAGCAGTGCATGATTTTGTCCGGGCAAAACCTCTAGGTTTATCACACACTCCCACTCACCCGTGCACCAATAACATTGGTGCTGGACGTTGTCCTATTTCAGTTTTGTCCAAAACCCATAGCCTTATCGCACACTCCCACTCACCTGTACACTTATCGCAATAGTCTTTGATTTTGTCCTGTTTGAGTTTGTCCAGATCGCTGAGGTACGGGGCCATGGGCCGGTCACCCGCCACTCGCTGCATTGCACCCAAAGCCTCGTACGCTGCCTCACGCACAGGAGCCGCGCTGTCTGATGTTACCTGTGTGGGGTAAAGGACAGGGTTAGGTATCTATATATACACACACACATATATATACATACCTATATCTATATACATACACACATACATACATATATCTACATACATACATACATACATACATACATACATACATACATACATACATACATACACACACACACACTATATATATATATATATAATATATATATATATATATATATATATACATAGACAGACATATACATACATACACACACTTATATATATATATATGTATATGTATATGTATATATATATATGCACACACACACGCACACATATGCACACACACATATATATATATATATTGTGATCGGCGTAGGGCCCTAGGAACCGTAGTATCGAACTTTGGAGTAGAAAATTATTGACATTTGAAATTATCAAATTCTGAGAACCAATATTTACATTGACACATTATTAATATATATATCTGGGTCCAGAATTTTACACTAATCTTTCACCAACTCTTGATAACCTTACCATTAAAATAATTGTTTGTCTAACTTGCATGAATTTCCTGTTCACGATATATATATATAAATAATATGTATCATATATATATATATATATATATATATATATCAATATATATATATATATATAGATATAGATATTATAGATAGATATACATATAAATATATATATATATAAATAAATAAAAACAGGTGTACCACTTGCTTACTAAAAAATGAACAGGTGTACGATTTGCAAACTAAATCCTGACGCGTTTTGTACAGTTCGACACTTTTGACACAACACCCACACCAACACATCCATTTACCCCAACACACAAACACCTCCCCACTCATCACGTGCTACTATTTACTTTTAAGTCGAGTGATACGTACACCCCACCGCAGTACCTTGATAATCAGCTCTGCCAGTTGTTTGATCAGTGACTTGTTGAGAATCTTCAGAGTGGTCTGTGTGATCGCAAACGCAGTCACCACAAGCGTTTCCTTCCGTATCGACGGGTTCTTATCCGTGATAAACGGCAGCAATTCGGGTGCGATCGAGTCCAAACTCACTGTCTTCAGGACAGCCTTGGCAGCTTCATTTAGGGCTGTGAGGACGGTTGCTTTCTTCTCTTTCATACGCTTGAGTATGGGTGGTAGAACATGTATCGCTTGTGTACCGAACTGCGCCTTTGTTCCGTTGGCGATGTGGGCTATGCAGCCTGCTGCTTCGATGCACACGTGCACGTTGACATCCAGGATAAGCTGTAGAGTGGGTAGTCATGCAGGGTGTGCGTATGGGTGGTAGTCATGCAGGTTGTACATAAGTGTATGAGAGCCTCTACCAGCCAATCGCATGGCTATGTACGCGCAGATAGGAATATAAGGGAGGCTGCAGGTTCAACTGAACACGGATATGTGATCTGGAATACTGGGAGAAGACTGAGACACACGTTTCACCAGGCCATTCAGTAGTCCGTACACGTCCAGTTGTTGTCCCTGGTGGGTCCGTGTGTATATTTATACCTAAATTATACCTATACATTGCGTTTCGTCATGCACAGACACAGTCACAGTCACAGACACAGACACATACACATACACATACACATACACATACACAGACACAGACACAGACATATATATATATTGTGATATACATATATGTATATATATACATCTACCACGGCTCGTATCTCTCGCATCCACACAATACACCAGCATTCATCCAGCCAATACACTACACTGATAGCGAGGGTGGGCGGCCTTGTACACACTCCCCCACCCACACCTTCGCGAGTTTCTGCAGGAGCGTGTGCATCTCTGGGCCAAATGTGAGTTTGGGGTGGTCCGTGATCGTCTTGAGTTCGGACAGCGCTTCTTTTCGCGGCAGCCAGGCCTTGAGTACCTGCACAGTGTGCGTGGCAGGTGTGTTGCATCGTGTGTGTGTTAGCCTACCAAATGACGCTACTGCGTACGCGAATGTCAGCAGGACGCCCCAGAGCTAGATTTTAGGGAGGGTTTTTTAGGTTTCGGGGTTCTTGTCTGTGTTTTAGGGTTTGCAGGGTTTGATGTCAGCAATAAGCTGACAGATATATTTCACAAGCGGACGGGAATTCCCGATGGTACTACTCATTCCAATGGCACAAAAACACACCGCGGCGAGGCCATAGTGTAATCCAACATCAGCACTACGAGCAGTGTGGCCAGAGGTGATATCACAACTTTGTATTCAGCCGCTACAAACAGTAGACATAAGTATAACGTGTGAGCTTTGTATAGCTACGATTGTCAAACAGATAGGAACCCCACAACTTAGCGTTTAACGGGCCCGATAGTCTACCCCTGCGTCACTGACTGACAAATACAAATTCACGCACACACACACACACATATATATATATATATACATATACGCAAACGCAAACGCACACGCACACGCACACGCACTCGCACACACACACGCAAACACATATATACATATACATATATATACTTATACATACATATATACATTTGTATACATATACACTACATATACATATACATACATACATATATATATATATATATACATATACATATATATGTATATATTCATGTACATGGAACATATATACATATACATATACATGTATATATATAATATATATATATATATATATATATATATGCGGATAAATATATAAATACATACATAC